GCCATTTTGATTTTATAAAAATAAGATAACTCCGATGTTATAACACTTAGATGTGTCGAGTTTGGACTCATTTTAGTCGTTTTTTAATTCTCTACAACAATATCTACGAATCATTCATTTTCGGTCATCTTTAATTTTATAAGAATGTCAAAATCTCAATGCCAAAAAAATATATTAACTAAATATGTCGTATTTATCTCTCATATATATAATATACACATAAATATATATATTAAGATGTATATATAGATAATAAGATAAAAATCGTCCATTTCTTTTGGGTTTAATCCCAAAGGACATTAATATCTTTATTGCTCGAACCATTTCGGATTAAAACCGTCGTCTCTCGGTCAGCCCAGGTTCGGCGGTTCATTTTCGTTTTCGTTTTCATTAAATTTAATTGTAACAATTTATCAAAAAACGAAAATGAAATTAATAAATAGAATTGCAAATCGGAGGAATCTGTTCGCCAAATGGCACGACCATATTTTTTTGTTAAACCCGGATACCCTTCTTTTAGAATTCTTTTTTTTTTCACTTTTTCTTAAAAAACATGAAGGTGTTGGGACCTTTATATCCGCGTTTTTTTCGACAGATATCCAATTCCCTAACGTATACCTGCTGAGTAAACATTACGCAAAAAAAAAGAGAAAGGGTGGAGAAGTAAAAAGGGTTCCCTTTTTTCCTTGGGAAGAAAGGAAATAAAGAAGGAAAAAAGGAATCAAAGGGTGAATTGTGAATCGGCCGATGAAAGATGTTTTGAAACATGACTACACCTTTTAACGTTAAGATTTAAGATTTAAACCCCAGATGTTTCTTACTTACCAAAATTTGATATATTTAAAAAATTATATAAAAGTATTAATCGAGAAATTTGTTTAAAAATACTTCAGATTTCGTCTCCACGGTGTCTTTAAAGTGCAAACTCATCATATGCGATTTTTGCCTCCACACCTCCACGGTGTCTTTGTAGTCTTCGTGACCTCGGGCTACCAACATATCGATTTGTCTGATATCCGTGAGGTTCTTGTGTTTCAAAAATTCTGCTCGGATTTTTTTTCGGGCGCAATCCTCGTTTAATGGGATATCGTAAGTTCGGATTATCCAAGGAACTTGGCGCACCCACATTTTATACAGAGTTAGAACTCTTCGGCGGACTTCGAGACAATCACATGAGAGTAAGGGACGAACTGGGTTTTTAACAAACATTTTTAATGAAAATAATGACAAAGATGTCAAAACGATATGATGGATTTAAAACTAATCGTAGTGATCGTAGTAAAATTCCCACGAGTTTATTCGAGGGGGATAAACGTTGACGCGAACGTACCCAAAATCGCTTTTTCCCCGATGAAAATGATAAGAAATTGGAAATTTTATTTTTTTTCTAAAATTATTTTAAGGTTATCTCCTTAAGTATTGATTAAATCAAAATTTTTTTTTAATAAGATATGTTTGGAATTGCTTGGGGAACAGTGTTTGTTAATACAATTTTTTGGTAACTTTAAATTTTAATTTCCCACTGAATAGTATGCTGTAAAAATTAATTTTTGAGGTTATCTCAATAATGATTGGTTTTATCGAAAAAAATTTTAAACAAAATATGTTCCAATTTCAATTTTACAACAAATATCTTAATAAAAAAATTTTGTATTTTCATTAATTAAGCGTCTAAGTGTAATTGTGTATAAATATAAAAAAATTATTTTGAGGTTATCTCATTAACTATTGATTAAATCCGCTAACTTTGTCAAACGGCAGTATTTTCGTGTAAAGTGATCAATTGGTCTCTTACAAAACTTTGATTAAAGCAACAGTTTTTGATTGAATTAACAAATTTTCTACAAACGTGCTTTTCTTGGAAACTATTTTTTTTTGCTTTGATCAAAGTTTTGTAAGAGACCAATTGATAGATAATTAATCACTTTACACGCGTAGAGAGTAATGGCGTAGACAATATTGTTAAAAAAGTGCTTTTTATAGCAGATAATGTTTAATTTTAAAGAAACTTTGATCCGCTATATCTCGTCAACGATGCATTTGCGACCCCATGTATATTAAGACTATTCATCTTAATTTTTCATGTATTATCTACTCTAGAAGTCTGTCAGCGGTTTTTTGAATCACCCTGTATATATAAAAATTAATTTTTGAGGTTATCTCCTTAATTAATGATTGAATCAAAAAATTTTGTTAACAATATTTGTTTAAAATTGCTTGGGGAACAGTGTTTGTTAAGACAATTTTTTTCTAACTTGAAATTTTAATTTCTCTCTGAATAGTATGGTGTAAAAATTAATATTTTTGAGGTTAGCAAAAAATTTTTCAAATTAAATTTGTTTCAATTTCAATTTTAAAACGATTATCTTAATAAACAAATTTTATATCTCTATTAATTAAGTGTTTAATTGTAATTATATTGTATATAAAAATTAATTTTTGAGGTTATGTCCTTAATTAATGATTAAATCAAAAAATTTTGTTAACAATATTTGTTTAAAATTGCTTGGGGAACAGTGTTTGTTAATACAATTTTTTTCTAACTTTAAATTTTAATTTCCCTCTGAATAGTATGGTGCAAAAATTAATATTTTTGAGGTTATCGAAAAATTTTTCAAACTAAATTCGTTTCAAATTCAATTCTAAGACAATTATCTTAATAAACAAATAAATTTTATATCTCTATTAATTAAGTGTTTAATTGTAATTATATATATATAAAAATTAATTTTTGAGGTTATATCCTTAATTAATGATTAAATTAAAAAAATTTATTAATAAGATTTGTTTAAAATTGCTTCAGCAACAGTGTTTGTTAATACAATTTTTTTCTAACTTTAAATTTTAATTTCCCTCTGAATAGTATGGTGTAAAAATTAATATTTTTGAGGTTAGCAAAAAATTTTTCAAACAAAACTTGTTTCAAATTCAATTTTAAAACAATTATCTTAATAAACAAATTTTATATCTCTATTAATTAAGTATTTAATTGTAATTATATATAATTATATATTATATATAAAAATTAATTTTTGAGGTTATATCCTTAATTAATGATTGAATCAAAAAATTTTGTTNTTTATATCTTCATTAATTAAGCATCTAAGTGTAATTGTGTATAAATATAAAAAAATAATTTTGAGGTTATCTCATTAATTATTGATTAAATCAAAAAAATTTGTTAATAAGATTTGTTTAGAATTGCTTGGGGAACAGTGTTTGTTAATACAATTTTTTTGTAATTTTAAATTTTAATTTCCCACTGAATAGTATGCTGTAAATTAATATTTTTGAGGTTATCTCAATAATGATTGGTTTTATCGAAACATTTTTAAACAAAATATGTTCCAATTTCATTTTTACAACAAATATCTTAATAAAAAAAATTTGTATTTTCATTAATTAAGCGTCTAAGTATAATTGTGTATAAATATAAAAAAAATATTTTGAGGTTACATCCTTAATTATTGATTAAATTAAAAAATTTTGTTAATAAAATTCGTTTAGAATTGTCTCAGGAACAGTTTTTGTTAACACAATTTTTGTCTAACTTGAAATTTTAATTTCCCACTGAATAGTATGCTGTAAAAATTAATATTTTTGAGGTTATGTCCTAAATTAATGATTAAATCAAAAATTTTTGTTAATAAGATTTGTTTAGAATTGCTTCAGGAACAGTGTTTGTTAATACAATTTTTTTCTAACTTGAAATTTTAATTTCCCACTGAATAGTATGCTACAAAAATTAATATTTTTGAGGTTATATCCTTATTGTTGATTTAATCAAAAAATGTTGTTAACAAAATTTGTTTAGAATTACTTCAGGAACAGTGTTTGTTAATACAATTTTTTGCTAATTTGAAATTTTAATTTCCCACTGAATAGTATGCTGTAAAAATTAATATTTTTGAGGTTATCTCAATAATGATTGGTTTTATCGAAAATTTTTTTAAACAAAATTTGTTTCACTTTCTATTTTAAAACAATTATCTTAATAAAAAAATTTTATATTTTCATTAATTAAGCATCTAAGTGTAATTGTGTATAAATATAAAATCATAATTTTGAGGTTATCTCATTAATTATTGATTAAATCAAAAAAATTTGTTAATAAGATTTGTTTAGAATTGCTTGGGGAACAGTGTTTGTTAATACAATTTTTAGCTAACTTGAAATTTTAATTTCCCTCTGAATAGTATGGTGTAAAAATTAATATTTTTGAGGTTAGCGAAAAATTTTTCAAGCAAAACTTGTTTCAATTTCAATTCTAAGACAATAATCTTAATAAACAAATTTTACATCTCTATTAATTAAGTGTCCAAGTACAATTATATATATATAAGAATTAATTTTTGAGGTTATCTCCTTAATTAATGATTAAATCAAAAAAATTTATTAATAAGATTTGTTTAAAATTCCTTGGGAAACAGTGTTTGTTAATACAATTTTTTGCTAACTTGAAACTTTAATTTCCCACTGAATAGTATGGTATCAAAATTGATTATCTCAATAATAGGTTATCGAAAAATTTTTCAAACAAAATTTGTTTCAATTTCAATTTTAAAACAATTATCTTAATAAACAAATTTTATAGGTTATCTCCTTAATTATTGATTAAATCAAAAAATTTTGTTAACAAAGTTTGTTTAGAATTGCTTCGGGAACAATTTTTGTTAACATAATTTTTTTCTAAATTGAAATTTTAATTTCCCACTGAACAGTATGCTATAAAAATTAATATTTTTGATTTTATCTCAATAATTATTGCTTATATCGACAAATTTTTTAGACAAAATCAATTTCAATTTTAAAACAATAATTGTCTTAATAAAAAATGCTTACTGCAATACAGTTTGGGTTATGGAACATGACAAAGATACAGTCAAAGAGAAAAAGGTAAGTTGAAATCACCTGTAATAACTAAAGTGGTATTCTCAGCGACAGACATTCGTATTAACTTCAACCCGCAAAAACATTAAAAAGATATAACACATATTTACCTGAGTATTGTTGATAGGGATAATGTCCAGGTGGTGGTGGAGGCCCTGGAGGGGGTGGGGGAGGTGGTCCTAACATATTTGGCTCAATTTTCCCCTCCTCAATTTTTTGATCGTTACTACTCAACGATGATAAACTCATTTGGTCATCCTCCACTTCATTTTTGTCTTTAATTAACGAGCTCCTATCGATGGGGCTATAATTATTCTCTCCGGTTAATAACTCATCTTCACTCGAAGAGATGTCGCTGCCTATCTTATCCATATCGATCTTAACTTTTTTTAAAAGAGCAGTTGTTTCAAGCGCTTCCTTTTGATTCGCAATTACTGCCTATAATCAAATAAAACATAATTAAACCAAATTAAATCTAAATTAAGATTTATTACCTTTTCTAAAGCCTCGCGGTAACATTGCAAATAAATTTCTTTCGATAAAAACGGCGACGGTGGGTTTGATAATAAAGGCGGGGTTTCATTGGGTTTTGTGGAAGCTGTGTCGACTTCCGGTGGTGGTGGGTTGATGGGGAGGTCGCTTAAAGATACACTAGAACGATCTGAAATTAAAAAAAATATCATTCATCGAAATTAAATTTTAATTCATAAAAAAAACTCACCATCGTCGCTATCTACAGACATTGGAATAGGTACGGAATTCACTGATTTATCCAAACTAGTTTTATCGTCGTCGGAATCTACCCCCAACGATAAAAACGGGGGTGCCATCCCACCGGAACCTTTCCCTTTAAGTAACATCGCAATCCTAACACAAAATGATAATAAAATAGATTAATTAATTAATTGAGTGTGTCTCAATCTTTAAAACAAGACCAAAAATATTCAAATCGGTTGAATGGTCCAAGAGATATTAAAATGTAAACATTTCAAAACGCATTGGTCTGCATTGGACACCTGTATATTCTTAATGTATCTGACAAATTGGTAAAAATTGACATTTTCGGTTTATTTGTATCTTAAATCTTTGGCTACATACATTTCAATGTGGCACATAACTTAAACAGATAAAAGACCTACCCTAAGTTAAATGAAGGCACTTTATCTTTTATTTACACCAAATTATTTTATAAAAATAATTAAAAAATCTTCTTTATTGACGTTAATCACCCCATCTAGCGGTGACAACCGATATTAAATCATAATTTGACATTTAAAAGTTCGACGATTGCGTTTATTGATAAAATAATCAAATTTTACCCGAAAATAAGTTTAATTGAATCAAAACCACCATCACGATACATTTTTGAACTCTTAAACTACTTATATATTATATTTCACGAATTAGTTGTACCAACCTAAATTACTTAAAAAGCGAATATTTACATAAGAATTTATGATATCTCAAGAATAAAAAGAGATGGGAGAGAGTGATTATGACAAAAGATGCTCTTTATTAACCTGGAGAACATATTTCGTAAACGATTATATCTCATCAGTTCGTTATACCAACCTAAATTAGTCAAAAAGCGAATATTTCGAAAAATAACGTTTTTGACATAAAAATTGATGATATCATAAGAATAAAAAGAGATGGGGGAAAGTGATTAGGACAAAAAATGTTCTTTATTAACTTGGGGAACATATTTCATAAACGATTATATCTCATGAACTAGTTATACCAACCTAAATTAGTCAAAAAGCGAATATTTCGAAAAATGACGTTTTTTACATGAAGATTGATATCTCAAGAATAAAAAGAGATGGCAAAAAGTGATTATGACAAAAGATGTTCTTTATTAACCTGGGGAACATATTTCATAAACGATTATATCTCATGAATTAGTTATACCAACATAAACTAATCAAAAAGCGAATATTTCGAAAAATGACGTTTTTGACATAAAAATTGATGATATCTCAAGAATAAAAAGAGATGGGAGAAAGTGATTATGACAAAAGATGCTCTTTATTAACCTGGGGAACATATTTCATAAACGATTATATCTCATGAATTAGTTGTACCAACCTAAATTAGTCAAAAAGCGAATATTTCGAAAAATGACGTTTTTGACATAAAAATTGATGATATCTCAAGAATAAAAAGAGATGGGAGAAAGTGATTAGGACAAAAAATGTTCTTTACTAACCTGGGGAACATATTTCATAAACGATTATATCTCATGAATTAGTTGTACCAACCTAAATTAGTCAAAAAACGAATATTTCCAAAAATGACGTTTTTGACATAAAAATTGATGATATGTCAAGAATAAAAAGAGATGGGAGAAAGTGATTAGGACAAAAAATGTTCTTTACTAACCTGGGGAACATATTTCATAAACGATTATATCTCATAAATTAGTTGTACCAACCTAAATTAGTCAAAAAACGAATATTTCCAAAAATGACGTTTTTGACATAAAAATTGATGATATGTCAAGAATAAAAAGAGATGGGAGAAAGTGATTAGGACAAAAAATGTTCTTTACTAACCTGGGGAACATATTTCATAAACGATTATATCTCATAAATTAGTTGTACCAACCTAAATTAGTCAAAAAACGAATATTTCCAAAAATGACGTTTTTGACATAAAAATTGATGATATGTCAAGAATAAAAAGAGATGGGAGAAAGTGATTATGATAAAAGATGCTCTTTATTAACCTGAGGAACATATTTCATAAACGATTATATCTCATGAATTAGTTGAACCAACCTAAATTAAATAAAGTAAAATACTTTTATCTGTCGGTACTTTTATTAAAATGGATTCACTGTTATAAATTCTACAGGTTTCGGCTTATTTACAAAACCATCTTCAGGAACCTCCACGTGTTTGTCATTATGACAAACACGTGTACACATAATCTTGTTCGATAGTTTAAACTTAATAATAAAAACACAGACGCATTTCAATAAATAAAAAACGTTTAGAACAGAAATTTCAAGATGCTAATTTTCACGAGAGCTTTAAAATAAATTGACGAGATTCGAAGGTTCCTGAAGATGGTTTTGTAAATAAGCCTAAACCGGTAGAATTTATAACAGTGAATCCATTTTAAGAAAAGTACAGACAGATAAAAGTATTTTACTTTATTTAAAATAAAATGGAAAGAAATAATGTTTACAACAACAACCTAAATTAGTCAAAAAACGAATATTTCCAAAAAAAGACGTTTTGGACATAAAAATTTATGATATCTTAAGAATAAAAAGAGATGGAAGAAAGTGATTATGGCAAAAGATCTTCTTTATTAATCTGGGGAACATATTTCATAAACAATTATATCGCATCAGTTCGTTATACCAACCCAAATTAGTCAAAAAGCGAAAATTTCCAAAAATGACGTTTTTGATACAAAAATTGATGATATGTCAAGAATAAAAAGAGATGGCAGAAAATGATTAGGACAAAAAATGTTCTTTATTAACCTGGAGAATATATTTCATGAACGATTATATCTCATGAATTAGTTGTACCAACCTAAATTAGTCAAAAAACGAATATTTCGAAAAATGACGTTTTTGATATAAAAATTGATGGTATTTCAAGAATAAAAAGAGATGGAAGAAAGTGGCTAGGAAAAAAATGTTCTTTATTAATCTAGAGAACATATTTCATAAACGATTATATCTCATAAATTAGTTATACCAACTTAAATTAGTCAAAGAGCGAATATTTCGAAAAATGATGTTTTTGACATAAAAATTGATGATATTTCAAGAATAAAAAGAGATGGGAGAAAATGATTATGACAAAAGATGCTCTTTATTAACCTGGGGAACATATTTCATAAACGATTATATCTCATGAATTAGTTGTACCAACCTAAATTAGTCAAAAAACGAATATATCCAAAAAAGACGATTTTGACATAAAAATTAATGATATCTCAAGAATAAAAAGAGATGGAAGAAAGTGAGTATGACAAAAGATACTCTTTATTAACTTGGGTAACATATTTCATAAACGATTATATCTCATCAGTTCGTTATAACAACCTAAATTAGTCAAAAAGCGAATATTTCGAAAAATGACGTTTTTGACATTAAAATTGATGATAACTCAAGAATAAAAAAAAATGGGAGAAAGTGATTATGACAAAAGATGCTCTTTATTAACCTGGGGAACATATTTCATAAACGACTATATCTCATGAATTAGTTCTACCAACCAAAATTAGTCAAAGAGCGAATATTTCGAAAAATGACGTTTTTGACATAAAAATTGATGATATCTCAAGAATAAAAAGAGATGGGAGAAAGTGATTATGACAAAAGATGCTCTTTATTAACCTGGGGAACATATTTCATAAACGATTATATCTCATGAATTAGTTGTACCAACCTAAATTAGTCAAAAAGCGAATATTTCGAAAAATGACGTTTTTGACATAAAAATTGATGATATCTCAAGAATAAAAAGAGATGGGAGAAAGTGATTAGGACAAAAAATGTTCTTTATTAACCTGGGGAACATATTTCATAAACGATTATATCTCATGAATTAGTTGTACCAACCTAAATTAGTCAAAAAACGACTATTTCCAAAAAAGACGATTTTGACATAAAAATTAATGATATCTCAAGAATAAAAAGAGATGGGAGAAAGTGATTAGGACAAAAAATGTTCTTTACTAACCTGGGAAACATATTTCATAAACGATTATATCTCATGAATTAGTTGTACCAACCTAAATTAGTCAAAAAACGACTATTTCCAAAAAAGACGATTTTGACATAAAAATTAATGATATCTCAAGAATAAAAAGAGATGGGAGAAAGTGATTAGGACAAAAAATGTTCTTTACTAACCTGGGAAACATATTTCATAAACGATTATATCTCATGATTTAGTTGTACCAACCTAAATTAGTCAAAAAACGAATATTTCCAAAAAAGACGATTTTGACATAAAAATTAATGATATCTCAAGAATAAAAAGAGATGGGAGAAAGTGATTATGACAAAAGATGCTCTTTATTAACCTGGGGAACATATTTCATAAACGATTATATCTCATGAATTAGTTATACCAACCTAAATCAGTCAAAAAGCGAATATTTCGAAAAATGATGTTTTTTACATGAAGATTGATGATATCTCAAGAATAAAAAGAGATGGGAGAAAGTGATTAGGACAAAAAATGTTCTTTACTAACCTGGGGAACATATTTCATAAACGATTATATCTCATGAATTAGTTGTACCAACCTAAATTAGTCAAAAACGAATATTTCCAAAAAAGACGATTTTGACATAAAAATTAATGATATCTCAAGAATAAAAAGAGATGGAAGAAAGTGAGTATGACAAAAGATGCTCTTTATTAACTTGGGGTACATATTTCATAAACGATTATATCTCATGAATTAGTTATACCAACCTAAATTAGTCAAAAAGCGAATATTTCGAAAAATGATGTTTTTTACATGAAGATTGATGATATCTCAAGAATAAAACGAGATGGGAGAAAGTGATTAGGACAAAAAATGTTCTTTACTAACCTGGGAAACATATGTCATAAACGATTATATCTCATGAATTAGTTATACCAACCTAAATTGCTTAAAAAGCGAATATTTACATAAAAATTTATGATATCTCAAGAAGGACTCTCAAGGGAGAGAGTGATTATGACAAAAGATGCTCTTTGGGGAATCTGGGGTTATCTATGTTATATGTAAAGCAGACTGGACTACTAGGAAAAGTTGCAAAACATTATCTTGCTTAATTTTGTGTCAAAAATTAGTAACTAATTAGTATTTACTATATAAAAAATTAATTAATTAATTTCTTTACTAACCGTGTATCTAAATCAAGCGTCTTCCCATCTTCCTCAACCTTCTCTTTCTCTTTATCTTTCTCCTTATCTTTCTTTTTACTTTTTCCCCTCTTTTTATCCCGCTCCCGATCTTTCCATTCATGTGCATCTCGCTCTTTATTATTCCGAAACCGCTCCTCATTATCCCCCGGCCATTTATGAACCGGGGGTGCTGCCGCCATCGGAACGTTCGATTTATTCCACGCGTCATGAGGCCATTGTTGCGGTGTCATATGTGGTGGCCAAATTGGTGTGGCCCCCATGTACGGTCCATAATGAGCGTAAGGTGTCGCCATGGGCATATTCATGTAATCGTATCCAATTGGGGTGGTTTCATTTGAACCATAACTTGTGGAATATTCACTGGCGGCAGTTCCGTAACCTAAATCAGAAGACCCTGGGGTTGCGTAATCGTTCCGAACGTACCGGTGATTGTAATTTGTTCGCTGATCTTTCCCTGATGTTGATAATCGGTCTTCTCGGTCATTTTTTATTAAATCTACGTCTTTTTCGTGTTTTTCCTCAATGAGATCTTTTTCGGGGACTTTTTTCGATTCGGGGATATCTTTTTTTGGCTTATCTTCAATGGGGGGCGGCGGCGGCGGTTTTTTTTCAACCGTAAACTCCTCAAAACGCAAACGACACTTTTCCCCGAATGGATCTAAAAAAACTTGGAGTATCTTCCCCATTACACTAGTGTTATTTAATTTTTCCACGCATAATTTCGCCCCTTTCACCGTTTCGTAAACAACCCGACCAATTCCCAAGTGTTTATTCGTCGCCGGATGAAAATAAATATGTAATTCTTCGACGGTTCCGTATTTTTGAACCATATCGCGAAGGAATTGTCTATCAATGTTATCGTTTAATTGAAATATCGTTACTTCGATCGACGGCGGAGTTCCAACGTAGTTTGAATCGATTTTAAATCTAAAAACGAAAAAAGTTAGGTTAAATTTAATTTGACATTTAATGTAATCAATGGTACCAACTTTATTTTTTTTTTTTAATAAAAAAAAAACACAAAATATTTAAATATTTTCGCGATTTTAACCCAAAATTGTTTAATAATTGTATAAAATGTAATGAAGATGATGAATTAATTAAATTTATGCGGAAAATTGTATCAAGCAAAAAAAAAGTGAGGTTATGTTTGCAAATTTGACAAATGTCAATTAAAATTTTTCTTAAAAACCATCAAAAATGTCATACAAACCTAGGTACGGGTAAATTAATGGTTTCTAATCGTATAAAATGTAATGAAGACGATGAATTAATTAAATTTATGCGGGAAATTGTATCGAGCAAAAAAAAGTGAGGTTATGTTTGCAAATTTGACAAATGTCAATTAAAATTCTTCTTAAAAACCATAAAAAATGTCATACAAACCTAGGTACGGGTAAATCAATGGTTTCTAATCGCGTCCAAATACGTGTTAGATGAGACCTTGGATCTCTAGGTACAACGGGGGCGCAAACTCCATCGGGAACGATACCATCATATCGATAAAGTTTGGCAGCCCCCTTAACCAGAAACGGATCGACTATAAGTTTGTAGTTTTTTGGTAGCTTGGAGGCTGCGCTTGGTGTTGATCCAGATTTGTTTGGTTCCATGTTGGCTCCGTTCATGCTGGAAGAAGAAACCCAAATTGGGGGTTAATTAAGCGGATAAAAAGGGGGGAATGGGTGGTTGTTACCTTCGATTTGCTTTGTTATTACCAATTTAAAACCGGGCGCGAATCGTTCGCGAAAATAAAAGATTCTCAACTTGGCTCAAATTTATACTCGACTGACATTATTGGTGTCGTTCGTCGAAATTGTGTTAAAACGGGCGCGATACGTTTGCGAAGCGATCGTCATTTAAACTATACGCGAACGTATTGAGAAACGGGTATTGTTTACAAAAATATTTCAGTAAGGTTTCAGTGTTTTTAGCACACAAGCGACCTAACCTCGCGATGTGTTAAAGATGGCGCCACCTATTTCAAAACAACAATGCTCAAAAAATCTTTTATTAAAAATCAATTCAAATTTTAAATCTAACTAAAAACGATTCATTAAAACCATATTTAGTTTATTAATAAAATAATTAATTAATTAAGTATTTTTTTTATAAAAAATTAATTGTATAAACACGTGTGTGTTATGTCTTAAATGTCAACTTCAACTGTCATTTAACCAAAAAAGAATTGTTAACAATTAAATTTATTTCTAATTATATTTAGAAACTAATTACTTTTTTATGATTAAGTTATTGATCAAATTATTTATTGATTTTGATAATAAAAATTTATCGATGAAAATAGTTAAAACTTAAAACGTCACCTGTCAAATGAAATAACCTAAAAAAAATGATTAAATTAATTCGTTTTTTGAAGCGTTTAAAATCGATAAATCATCGATCGTTTTCGCAAGTGATCGAAAAACCAGGTAAATTTGTTTAAAATTAACATTATTACCACAATTTCGTTTTAATTCAGCCATCGAACAACGTTCTTATATCAGGTTGAGTCCGGGTTATTCCCAAAACCCCGATTTAGCTTCGAATGTGTTAAAAACGATGACCGTACATTACGATTTTATTACCGAGGAAGAAGAAAAAAGCATTCTCGATGAAATAGAGCCGTACTTAAAACGAATGCGTTATCAATTCGATCATTGGGACGATGCAATTCATGGATACAGAGAAACTGAACGGTTGAAATGGAACGAATCAAATAAGGTTATTATTGATAGAGTGAGGAAAATAGCTTTCCCACCAGGTGTGGCCCAATTAAAATTGGTACATATTTTGGATTTAGACAAAAATGGGCATATAAAGCCACATATTGATGCAGTTAGGGTTAGTTGAATAAAAATTAATAAATTTGGGTTATTTTAATGTTGTTTTGTAGTTTTGTGGGGACACAATCGCTGGGTTAAGTCTCTTAACTGACAGTGTAATGAGATTAGTTCATGATAAAACCCCCGAATTACAAGCTGATGTTTTATTAAAACGGAGATCTTTGTATATTATGACTGGGAGTGCTCGATATGATTATAAGCATGAAATTTTAAGCAACGAATATAGTAAATTTGACAATGAGGTGATTTTTAAAGATCGAAGGATTTCCGTGATATGTAGAAATGAGCCCAATGAGAAAGATAAATCTTAAATTATAAGATTAAAGAAAACAATGAGTATTAATTGTAAATAATTAGAATATAAATATTGATAAATATAATAATTAAAAATAAAAAAAGGAAATTCCCCTAAAAATAGATTTATTGATTACTTATGGTACGCATGTTTCCCCAATAAAAAATCAAAAAAGTGAGATAGAATCATAACTTGACAACGTATTAAAAAAGGATGGATATAGAGGTTCGATGTGAAGTTGCACGCGAATCAAAAAACGCATCTAGTGAGAAACAAAATGGCGGTGTGCGCACAGTGTGTAATTAAGAATCGACCGATAACGAGCGGTTTTTAAGTGTTTTTTTCATTTCAAAACGGCGAAAATGGGCGAAATAACGTCGTAAGTAAACGATTAAAAGACTCGGATTGTATTCCGAGAGAAAATAATCGAGTTTGCAAGAAAATTTGGGCCCCACCGAAATCATCCTTTGAGACTTTTCGTGGAGAGTATGTTTTGTTGAATACACAAAAGACCACCCCCGCGGTAAATAGATCATAACAATATTGATTGAGTGAGGAAAAAAGATAAGGAATAAAGAATGAATGCCACGGAGAAGTTTTACGATTTTAATTGCGAGGAGAATTCGACGAAATGGAAAGGGGTTTTAGTACCTCCTTTAAGAAAGGTAATAAATAAAAAAAATATATTAATTTAGATTAATTTAAAACTTTTTTTGTAGGTTTTGGACCAAGTTCATCCATCATTAAGTGTTAATGATGATGCTTTGAATTACATTGAGGGGTTATGTTTGAGACTTTTAGCGATGTTGTGTGCTAAATCACCTCATACGGTCCAGGTAAAACTTGAATTCATAAACAAAGTGAAATGATTAGTATTTTTGGATTTTAGGATGTTGAAAATAAAGTTCAGAATACATTTCCTAATCCAATTAATCAGTGGGCTCTTAAGGATGCTCAGGAAGCTTTGGAAAAGGGCAAGAAAAAGTCTGTGTTACCTGTAGATAAAATACATAATTTGTTGCAGAAGGTAAAATTAAATTAAATTTAAAAAAAGTTAGGTTATTAACTTTTTTGTTGTAGGAATTGTTACAATATAAGATAGATTCGAGTGTATCGTTATTTTTGGTGGCTGTTTTGGAGTATATCTCGGCCGATATTTTAAAATTGGCTGGAAATTACGTGACGAATATAAAACATACGGAAATAACCTATCAAGATGTGCAGATATCGATGAACGCTGATAAGGTGAATCTATATATAGATTAATTTTGAATCATTTTTTTTTATAATCATCGAAGAATTAATCGAATTTAATTTCAATTCTTTTCATTTTTTAATTAATTTAATTTAACAATGCTTTTTTTCACGCTTGCCAACTTAAAAAAAAGACCAAATCAGTGGTAGGTAGAGTTTACCCCAGTTTACACTAGTTTATTCCACTTTGTAGACCATTTTTTCTATTTTAAATCGAAAAAGGAATAATATCCCCAAATAAAAACTTCTTTATCATTTTCCACCCCTTATTATTATTAATTTTTTTTACATATTTCTCTTTCTATCGCACGTTTTAGCCTTTTTATTTGCTACTATTGTTCTGTTTAAAATGATAAATCTTTTTTTCTAATCAATTTACTTATTTTTTTAATTATTAAATCATTTTAATCGTCTCTTAGGCTTTAATGGACTTGTTTTATCAAGATGAGGGTGGAAAATTAAACATTTGCGAGCAACCCAGCGTCTCAACCCATGTTTCAAGGACCACGAAAACTTATGAGGAGGTTGTTCGCGAATTAATGACAGCCGAAAGACAGTATTTACGTGATTTACACATGATAATCAAAGTATTTCGGTAATTAACTTTTTTTTATTAACTTAAATTAAGGGTAAATGGCCTTTTTCCCAAATTTTTATTAAACAGGTGTACAGGGTGGTTCAAAATCGATGTCCGAATAGGCTAACTCGCAAACTATAAGAGTTAGAAAAAAAGTAGCTTACATGTCATGATCTCGTTTTTCGAGAAACTGCTAATGCCGAAAACCTCATAGCGCTATCGTCTTTTGTTTTTCCCCTAGAGGCCAAAATTGAAAATATCGTAAAACCAATAAGTGCAATTATCTTGGTTATTATTATAGGTGGAGTATTATAACTACGACATTATATGGACACTTTTTTACAGAGAATTTCATGACGTAGTCAAAAAAAATTTTTCGGTTTTAGATTTTGAGATGTCATGAGAATTTTCGTTTTTTTAAATGGAAACAACCACTGATTATTAAATTCGTTATTTTTTTCTGATTACAAAAATATGGGGTTCGACAGGTCTATTTCTTATTGTTTTAGAATAAAGCTAAAAATAAACTTTTTTTATAACATTTCCATCTAGTGTCGTCGAGGAAATTAAATTTACAGTTTCCTGTAAGTTATAATCTAAAAAGTTAACAATTAAATACGAAGATAACTTCTGGTATTTAAAAACAAATAATTTTTTAATATGTAACATTCTAACATGTCAAACTTTTCAAAATTTTTGCAAATCATGATGGGTAATTCTGCTCAGGTTGAAATTTGTATAAATTCAAGAAAAAGTAGTTTTCTAACAATACAGAGTAAATCAAAAGAATCTTTTGCCATATTTGATGTATTAGAAATGATTCGTTCAATTTGAATCTTGCAAAAATTCAAGGAAAACTGATTTTGCAAATTAATAAGACCTGTCAAAAATGGTTTTNTGTTTTTTTAATTTTTAGTTATAGAACCGTAATTTACAGGAAACTGTAAATTTAATTTCTTCGACGACACTAAAAGAAAAGTTTATTTTTAGTTTTATTCTAAAACAATAAAAAATAGACCTGTCAAACCCTATATTTTTGTAATCAGACAAAAATAACGAATTTATTAAGCGAATAATCAGTAATTGTTTGCATTTAAAAAAACGAAAATTGTGATAATATCTCAAAATTTAAAACCGACAAAATTTTTTTGACTACGTCATCAAATTCTCTGTAAAAAAGTGTCCATATAATGTCTTAGTTATAATACTCCACCTATAATAATAACCAAGATAATTACATTTGCGGATTTATGAGGTTTTCGGCATTAGCAGTTTCTCGAAAAACGAGATCATGACATGTCAGCTACTTTTCTTCTAACTCTTATAGTTTTCGAGTTAACCTATTTGGACATCGAATTTAAACCACCCTGTACTAAATCTGAACAATGTACATCACAATATTTATGATTTTAAAGTTTATTATAGAATGTTTTTGATCTTGAAGAATTTCAGAGGCTCAGGTTGCTCTAATTAACTGAAATAAAAAATATGCTTTGCGTACTTTGAAAAAATAAATCAAAAATTAAATTTGAAAAAGATATATACTTCCTATACGACCCCTCTTCATGCGAAGACAGTCTTCTTAAAATACACCTTAAACCTCAAACCATTTTTAATATACAGGTGTCTCACATAACTGGTTCATTAGAACTTTTTCAGGTTCCACTATTCGTAGAGATTTGGTAGTATCATTGGGAACTTTCGATCTAAAATATTTTCAAGGTGGCCGCCACTTCCGGTCGTAGACCATAACTTCGTTATTTTAAATCGAATGCTATAGTTTTTATTACACCGTTTAATTGCACGTAAAAAAATAGGTTGACTTTGATAAAAGTTATTGGTACCTAGTGTTTTTCGTCTTTGAGTTATTTTGGTTTTAAGCTTTTTTTGGTAAATTTCAACGTGCTCTTTAAAACCCCATATCTCAGCCAACGTTAATTCAAGAAAGGTCTACTTGGATTACTCTTCAGATGCTTCCAAATAGATTGTCATTTGTTGTATCTGAGTATCTTATACAGGTTGATTAAAAATTGAATTACTGCTTCTCCATATTCAATGGCGAGATACTCGAGAAAGAGAATTTAATTCTCTACAAATTATCTATAAACATTCATATACCTATTTATTGCAGTTTAAAAAAGTTATCCTTCCTCAAAATGATCCAAATAAAGAGTGCAGTGTCAACGTTTCTCGTGGTATTAATGCAGTTGTAAACAAAAAAATGTTTATTCCTTCTCAAGCTACTCCCAGTAGTCTTATAGCGAAAATATCCGACGACGTAGACGGCTTGAACGATAATTGAGTTCACTTTTCTACTCATTTTTTATATGTAAAGCGCAACAACGATGTCAAACGACTTCACGGTATAAAAATCGACAATGTCTGGTATACATCGGTACGGAGCGCGGTATTTGCAACTTTTTTCAACATCAAATAAGTTTTATTACCTTAATCATGAATATTATGATGTACAGATGTAAAATGACTTTTCTAAGCAAGAAAAATGATCATTTATTATTTTTGTCCACGACTTTTCTAAAAAAAGGGTAGTCATTTTTCACAGAGTGAATAATAGCGGTGAATAATGATCATTGTTCGTCAATTTCATTTAATTTTTAGGACTTTTTAAAGGTTTGGCATTTAAAAAAACGTAAACAAATTCCTTTTTTCATATGATTTAAGCATAAATTAATTAATTTTCGTAAAAGAAAAACATGACGTTTCATAAAATTGACATTTAATTTTGACAACTTGTAAAGTTGGTTAATAAAGAATACATCATGAAGTTGTCTATTATACTATAATTAACTTCAGGTGTAAAATATCAACCTCAATTTTGACATATTTGTAATCTTCATTAAAAATCCTTTAAAATGAGTACAAACACGACATATTTATCTTCAATATTAATAAAGTTATGGTCAACTTCCGGTTAGAAATGTCAACCTCAATTTTGACATATTTGTAATCTTCATTAAAAATCCTTTAAAATGAGTACAAACACGACATATTTATCTTCAATATTAATGGAGTTATGGTCAACTTCCGGTTAGGAATGTCAACGTCAATTTTGACATATTTCTAATCTTGATTAAAAATCCTTTAAAATGAGTACAAACACGACATATTTATCTCCAATATTAATGAAGTTATGGTCAACTTCCGGTTTGAAATGTCAATGTCATTTTGACATATTTTTCATTTTTATAAAATGTCTTAATATTTGTCTCAAAAACAAATTTATAATAAAAAAATAAAAAATTAAGGTTGGTATTAATATTTAAAAATTAAATTGCTATCTTCATTGTTGCCAACTTCGGGTTTATTGTTTCATATTCTAACTTTTTTGTTTTTTTAAATAAATGCGTCATGTTTGGACTCATTTTAAAGGTTTTTTCACGAAGATGACAAATATGTCAAAATTGACGTTGACGTTTCAAACCGGAAGTGATTGTATTTCCATTAATATTAAAGTTAAATATGTCGAGTTTGGACTCATTTTAAAGGATTTTTTATGAAATTGACAAATATGTCAAAATTAAAAGTTGAACTTTTTGGTTTTTTGAGATAAATGTATCATGTTTGGACTCATTTTAAAGGTTTTTCAATAACGAATACATCATGAAAGAATACCATGAAGTTGCCTGTTAAAAATATATTAAATTTAAAAAAAATTTCAAAAATTAAGAAAAAAAAAATTAATATGTGTACCAAATTTTATTACGACAAATAAAAAGTCGTGACTGAAAGGATTAAAATGTCAACCTCGATTTTGACATATTTGTATTCTTCATTAAAAATCCTTTAAAATGAGTGCAAACACGACATATTTATTTTCAATATTAATGAAGTTATGGTCAACTTCCGGTTAAGAATGTCAACGTCAATTTTTTATTCAAAATAGATGTTATGAAATGAAAGAAAACTAAAAATGCTTTAAAACGAGTCTAAACTCGATGCATTTACCTTTATTTGTTGCTGATATATCAATTAAACAAAAAAAATTNTTCAATTTTAGGGAAAAAATCACTTCTTAGAGTCTTTAATCACTTTAAATAAGTAGTTTGAGAGCTCAAAAACATATTTTGATGGAGATTTTGATTCAATTAAGCTTATTTTTTGTAAAATTTGATGATTTTAGAAATATATGAAACAGGGATGTTTTAACTGTCAAAACGTTGACTAAAAGGGTTGCCGCTAGATGGGGTGAGCAACTATTAAAACGAGAAAGAATTTTGTTGATTAAATAAAATAAAAATCGTAAAGGTTCGAAATCTTTACCCAAATGAAGATTCATTTACCCTTTTATTCATCAAATAAGTTCGTTCATTAATTCCACTTTTTCTCTAAGAAATAAATTAAAATTAATTAGAAACGTCACATTCTAAGCGCCATCTATCCGTGATTCTAAAAATAACTCGTATAGATTGTGAGTTTTTTTTTAATTTGAATTAAAATAACTTATAATTCAAGGAATCAATGATTGAATGATTTAAAATTGATAAAATCAATCGACTTACTATGTATTAGTTGTAATAAATTCTTAAATCCTCAAAATTTTTAAATGACGCGATGAAAGTTAGGTTGGTTTCGTTTCTTCTTCAATTTTAGGGAAAAAATCACTTCTTAGAGTCTTTAATCACTTTAAATAAGTAGTTTGAGAGCTCAAAAACATATTTTGATGGAGATTTTGATTCAATTAAGCTTATTTTTTATAAAATTTGATGATTTTAGAAAGATATGAAACCGGGATGTTTTAACTGTCAAAACTTGACCTAAAAGGGTTGCCGCTAGATGGGGTGAGCAACTATTAAAACGAGAAAGAATTTTGTTGATTAAATAAAATAAAAATCGTAAAGGTTCGAAATCTTTACCAAAATGAAGATTCATTTACCCTTTTATTCATCAAATAATTTCGTTCATTAATTCCACTTTTTCTCTAAGAAATAAATTAAAATTAATTAGAAACGTCACATTCTAAGCGCCATCTATCCGTGATTCTAAAAATAACTCGTATAGAT